GATGTGATCACCTTCCATAGGTGGTACAGCAATTGATGGATTTACACCTGTCACTTCATCTACCCAATCCTCTCCAATAGATGCTTGATGCATCATAACAATTCACCTGGTCTGGTGTGACTACCTTCCATAGGTAGTACAGCAATTGATGGATCTATATCTACCACTTCATCTACCCAATCCTCTCCAATAGATGCTTGATGCATCATAACAACTCACCTGGTCTGGTGTGATCACCTTCCTTAGGTGGTACAGCAGTTGATGGATTTACACCTGTCACTTCATCTACCCAATCCTCTCCAATAGATGCTTGATGCATCATAACAACTTACCCAACTTACCTGGTCTGGTGTGATCACCTTCCATAGGTGGTACAGCAATTGATGGATTTACACCTGTCACTTCATCTACCCAATCCTCTCCAATAGATGCTTGATGCATCATAACAACTTACCTGGTCTGGTGTGATCACCTTCCATAGGTGGTACAGCAATTGATGGATCTATATCTATCACTTCATCTACCCAATCCTCTCCAATAGATGTTTGATGCATCATAACTACTCACCTGGTCTGGGGTGATCACCTTCCATAGGTGGTACAGCAATTGATGGATCTATATCTATCACTTCATCTACCCAATCCTCTCCAATGGATGCCTGATGTTTTAATATCTCATCGTCATCTTGCCATTCCTCCTTCAAATTCACATTGGACATCATTTCAACAGATTCCGGGGATCGCTTCAATTTCCGTGGTGAAGCTTTGGCGAGTCTCTGCTCAATTAAGATGCTTGAAACAAACCCTATGTTTTCATCCTCACCAATCATTGGGCTATAAAGCTCATCTTTGAGCTCTGATCCCTGACCCACATTCGCAGCATCCTCATCATTTTGCATCGGACTATCAACCACAGTATTCTTGGCCTTATCCTCTGATACTTCTGGCATCATCTCAACCATTTCGTGTCTTTTTACTGAAAAAAGTTCATCATTCATTCTCTCTCGATCATTCCCCATGATGTCACTCTCGATGACGCCTCTCGTTGCCATGGTTACATCCTCGTTCTCACTACTCTCGGGTTCCTCCACTATCCGAGATATAGGATGATGTACAGGCGAGGGCATCTCAGCGCAACTGAATGACCCACTCGTAGAGGAGAGTTCGTCGCCGCTGGTCTGTGATTCCGACTGCGATTCGGTCTCTGTTGATGGACTTCCCATCCTCCTATCTAGTTCACACTCTAGAAAATTGCAATACAAAATAAAACATCAGAATCAACTTTACAAGGAAACTAGTCTAGAATGCAAACATTGCACAAACTCAGAATTTTTGCGGATTCACCAGAGCAAAATAAAATCCATGCATTCAGTTCACAACACACAATCACCTGAATTTATGGGAAATGAGCAGCACAAACCAATGAAGTACTAGAAATAGATGCCATAGCAACCAATGCCTCAAATTCAGAATATTAATGACAAGTAATTTTTTTTATCTATGTTAACATGCCACTCATGATGTGAATACTGTTGGTAACATACATGTATGGGTTAAATTTGTGTGTGTCTCATCTGTCAGTGTATTATCAACGAACAAAGACGTATGAAAAAGAGAATATTCAGTGGGTTAGT